AGATCATGGTGGCTGACACACAAAAACTTATGCCTTTTGAATGTTTTGCACAATATATTAAGGTGTTACTCCCTCAGTAGCATAATATATTACGGTACAGAGAGAGTAAAACGCTATTTCATGTCTCTTGATGATACCTTCTGGTAGTAGGAAGCACTTCTGTCATCTGGCTTTCATTTATTTCTGGAGGCAATGGTTTCCCACTGTAGCTGATTTCTTCTTTCGAGAAGCCAATGCATCTTTCCATTTTACTGCAGTTTTTGTTAAATAGGCACCGCACCGGCAATTAATTTCCCAATAGGCAGTTGCTTTGCTTCTAAACTTTCCTTTGGAAACGCTATATATTTTCTTTGTTTTAATTGATAGAAAAGAACAATGCTATTGATGGCACTACCAAAGTATAAAGTTTAACCCATATGCTGTTCTAGTGGTAAAGATGTTACTCCAGATATTAAATGGTTCTCTTTGTTACTTATCAATTTCCTTACTCTGTTCAGGAATGTAGAGAACAACTTGTTTTCTGGACCAGTACCTCCGAAACTAGAGAACATACCGATCTTCAAGTGAGAAAGCCTCTTCATTCTTTTATTCATCTATTTCTTAGTGCCAGCCTAGTTGCAATAGCTATCAGCCTATCACATTGTCTAATGTTGACATTATTTCATCTATTGAAGATCTAGATATTTAATTGCATTGATTTTGTGTGACTTGTTAAGTGACTGACATAATTCCAGTGCAGAAAGGATGGTAATCCATTTAATACGACTATAGCCCCGTCAGCATCACCGCCTTCAGCGTCGCCGCCTTCATCAATAGGACCAGCACCAACTCCAACACCAGCAGGACCAAAACAAGCCCCAACTCCAACAACAACGCCTACAGATCTAAGTCCAACAAAAGCACCCTCACCTCCATCGCCCCCTTCAAAATCCCCTCCTCCCTCAAACTCTTCTGATGGATCAACTACTCGAGATAGCACCTCATCATCTCAGAAACATAATTCGTCAAAAAAGCTCAAGATTGCCGGATTTGTTATTCTTGTAGTAGTGCTATTCATATCTATAGTCCTGCTGGTAATCTTTTGTTTGACCAAGTACCAAGAGAGACGGTCAAGATATGATTATAACAGAAGTCAGCTGGGAAGGGTCCATCATAGGGTTGAGCCCCAAATTATGCCGGCTTCAGTGCAAAAAAGGGATGATACTAAAAAAGGTTAACTTCTGTGCATATACCGGTAGAACAGGGTGTTCTGGATTTATTTTTCTGTATTAATTGAAGATATTTTATTTGATAGGTCCAGGTGAGACCCTTGAAAAGAGGAGCCGTGAGTCAAGTTTGGCAGCAGCAGGTATGAAGCCCTTGAAACAAGGACAGTCTAATTTTGACATGTTGTTCACCAAGTTAAAATGTCTAAGTTCTGTGCAAATGCTTGCAGTTCTCCCAAAGAAACCTGCTGAAAACCGAAAGGAGCACATAATTAATTTGGATCGGACAGACTCGGAACTTTTTGCAGTTGCACCCCCTCCCCCTCCACCACCCCCTACTGAAAAAGTTGTTGTACAGCCTAAGCCCATTGTTGCTCCAGAAAGGAGGCATAGCCCTCCACCAAGGACAAGTACCCCGACATCTGCCACACCCTACTCTGTTGCATCTCTTCAGCAATATACAAGCAATTTCAGAGAGCAGAATGTGATAAGAGAGAGTAGATTAGGAAAGGTATTCCTAGCTGAGCTTCCTGAAGGCAAGGTATGAAGTACTACTTGTAACAATGCAACTCACTATTTGTCGTGCAGTTTAAACATTATGCTTGATTTATTTTATTCTTTGTAGTTATTGGAAGTTATGAAGATCGACAATCCTAATGGAAGAGTGTCAGTGGATGACTTTCTAGAACTGGTTGCGCTTATCTCAGAGATCAAGCATCCCAACACCCTTGAGTTAGTTGGATACTGTGCTGAATATGGACAGCGATTACTTGTATACAATCACTTCAGCAGAAAAACACTAGATGATGCACTTCATGATAGAGAGGAAATCGACATTGAACTATCATGGAATGCTCGTCTCCAGGTTGCTCTTAGCTCCGGCAAAGCCTTAGAGTAAGCCAAATTATAGTTTTATCTTTTATGCAGTCCATATCTGCCTCTCTTAACATGTGTGGAGATTTATACTCTGAATTACTCTTTCCCTGCAGGTATCTTCATGAAAGCTTCCAACCCCCGATCGTGCATCAGAATTTTGAACCAGCTAATGTTCTCCTAGATGATAAGTTGTCAGTGTGTGTTGCTGAATGTGGACTAGCAGAGCTGATGCCCTCAAGTTCTGTCACTCAGGTAAGCTGTAATATGTGTTATAGATATTGCATGTTCTAAGTACATAAAAATGGGGCAAGTTCAGGTCCCTCTTACTTTAAGGGCTGATGGTGCTATGTCTCAAAACTGTGATACAGCCCAAAGTTAGTATAGCATGTGAAGCATATCTGTTAATAGTGATGTACCAACATGCACTAGTTCATTCTAAGAAAATCTGTATCAACGTCAGATGTTGATAATCAGCTTTGCTAATGTGGTTGTGTATTGCATGATACGGCATTTCTGTCTTCCCTTAGCTTTCTAATAGACTGTGATAATTTGTTAATAGTCTTTTAGTATCAGTAAATCAGTGCACTGTACTGAAAATGAAAGGTTTCTGGTGTATGCCTTCGCCCTTCGAAGTCTTAAAATTAGTAATCTGGTGATGGGGATAACAGATTGTCTTTCCTGTTAAGGCCCCGCTTGGATTGAGTGTGAAATTAGTGAGCTCCCCGGTATTTAGCTGAAGTTTGAACTGAATACCGGGGATCACACAAAATTTACATCCAATCCAAACAGGGCCTACTGTTTCTTTACCGGGGTATTCCACTAGAGTATCAACATGTTAAATGAGTAGATTTAACTTGTTAGAAAAGCTTTATGGACCGTTCGCTAGAAGGATTTAATTAGTTACTGACTTCAGTAGCTGTTGATGCTTTATATCCTATTTTGACCACAAATGAGTATACTTAGCCTTTGCCTTAGCCTATTTAATTCGCCCATGCATTGACAGACTCATCTTGTTATGTGCTCACGGATGTTTCTTTTTGTTGCAGCTGTCAGGTCGGTTGCGCACATTACTGAACTATGATGCGCCTGAATTCCAGGAATCTGGGATCATTTCAGAACGAGGCGATGTTTACAGTTTTGGAGTAGTGATGCTAGAACTTCTTACCGGGCGTAAACCATACGATAGGTAAGAGATTTGAACTCTCATGCTTGGCTTCACAACGAACTTACCTTGTTTGTTTCATATTTGAACTCTCATGCTTGGCATAAGAAAACAACTCTCTGACTCACCTGCATGTCTGTTGTGAAAACCGAAAAATTATACAGTTCACGCCCACGCCATGAACAGCATCTTGTTAGATGGGCCGGTTGTCAGCTCCATGACATTGAATCCCTTTCCAAGATGGTGGACCCTTCTATTCGAGGGCAGTGCTCCGAGAAAGTATTGTCGCGGTTTGCTGACATAATCAGCCGCTGTATCCAGGTAATTCATTTTTGTTCTAATACTGCCAGGATGCAATTTCCTAAGCATACTATAGGTGATGCTTGCCACTTTTTGCACAAGAACCTTATGAATCAAAGGCATAAAACATATCTGATAAGAAACTTTCATGATGCAGAGGGAGCCAGAATTCAGGCCACCGGTGTCTGCAGTTGTCCAGGACATAACTAGCATTGTGAATGCTTCTCGTGAGGAATCAGAGTAACAAGCAGTTCGATGATTCACAAATCTCATGGGCAAAGTCGCCGCTCGGAAATTTTTGGGATGGAACTTCTTTTGGCATAATGCAGAGCACATCATATGTCACAGATTTCTGGGAGAAGTATAGCTATTGATCCTTACCAGTGTATCATGTAACTATGTAAATGATGAGTAGGTGGTGGTCACATTCATTCAAGGAAAACATCATGCTTTCCAAATGGAATGTCTTAGACAGAATACCGGGTATTTAGTGAACAGAAATTTGACGCAGAAAGCAGGGGAAATGCAGAGATGGGGAATGTGCAGGAAATGGATGTAAAACTGCTATTGCAATACCATGATCATCTCTGGTGATGGATTTTGGGGGAATGCCGGAAGGACTAGAACCCTACAGGAAAATTTCCTATGTAGCCCTCTTTGAACAAATGAACGAGCTTCTTGAATTCCTATGGAATGCCTCAATTGCGTAGTGATTCTGGATGCACTCTTAGCATGAGGTTGGACCGTGTTGGAAGTAAAATCTGTATGTTCTGGTCTTCTGGATACCAAAACAAAGAGGGACGCGTCCTATATGTAACTGAATGCTTTTTTGCAAGCATTTTGTGGCCTAAACTCTGGCTTGCAAATTTATAATTTTTACAACCAATGCAACTCGCAAGGAATATTCAAAGTTGAATCAACTCATAGTTAACTCGAAAAAAAAAGGAATAAACTCACGCTTGCAGGTTTTGACAATTTCTTTTGTAGACCCGTACTTGAAAAATGTACATTATTTCAAGAAATATAATTATTTTCCTCCTTGGTTTATTTCTGTTTTGTAACCCACAACCTTCTGCCCTGCGCTCCATTCCTCATACAGGAAACTGGTCACCTACAAATTGCGTCTGGCCGAATGGTTGGTGTCCTTTTGCAAAACCCAAACCATCGAATTCGGCCCAAACCGTATCATAATTCATAATTCAGAACAAAGGTTGCATAACAAGCCAAATCAAGATGGACTCAGGAACAGGATCATAGCAAGAACTACTCAAGAAAAGGGATATCACGGTAAGAACTGAACATGATAGACAGAATAAATAACCATCATTACTATTTCACGAGATACTGAAACAGTGTGATGCCACAACACCAGCACAAGTTACACAGGGACATAGCCCGAACAGCTAACCATTACAGAGAGAAGCATCGACCGACCAACAAGACAGGGAACGGCGTATCTAAGAGGAGGTGAACTTGGTGACGGCCTTGGTGCCCTCGGAGACGGCGTGCTTGGCGAGCTCCCCGGGGAGGACGAGGCGGACGGAGGTCTGGATCTCCCGGGACGTGATGGTGGGCTTCTTGTTGTAGCGGGCGAGCTTGGCCGACTCGCCGGCCAGCTTCTCGAAGATGTCGTTGATGAAGGAGTTCATGATGGACATGGCCTTGGAGGAGATGCCGATGTCCGGGTGCACCTGCTTCAGCACCTTGAAGATGTAGATCTTGTACGTCTCCACGCTCTTCTTGGCCTTCTTCTTCTTCTTGTCGGCGCCGCCCTCCTTGGACTTGGGCGGCCGCTTCTCGGCCTTGGGCTTCTTCCCCGCCGTGGTCTTCTCCGCCGCCGGGGTCTTCTCGGCGGCAGCCGGCTTCTTCTCCGCCTTGGGAGCCATCGGACGCTGTTGCTTCGCCGGGGAGAGGTGCGGTGGTTCGCCGGAGGGTGCGAGGGGACTGGTGGTGGGGAATTGGATTGCTGGTTGGTGATGGGATGGGGAGGGCGCGGCGGCTTTATTTATGGAGAGGAGGAGGTGGACTCTGATTGGAGGAGGGGTTGGTGCCCCGGATCGGTGACGTCGGGTGGTCTATCGACGGATATCAGCCGCTCGCTGCTGCTTCTGATGGACGGCCCTGATGAGCTTCGGCACGGATCGATGACGTGGCCAAAACTTGGGCGGGGAGATCAAACTCTCTTCGTGGCGGGAATTTTGGGTGAGATGGTTTTCCATCCTCTGCATCTCAGCTGAGGAAGAGCGACGCATGTTCCAGCTTCACATGACTAGAGCATCTCCACCCGTTGGCCCTCTCCGAAGGCACAAAAATCACCGCCTGGGAGTGAGCCGGCAGCTAAATCAGCGTTGGGGCCGGTTGGGCATCCAGCCGTCGTTCCCAGGTCGGCCCCAGGCGCCGATATCGGGCCATTCGTGGCCGCTTTTCGGCCCAGATAAATAGAAAAATGGTCCAATATCGATGAGAAACGGTTCATATTCGGCGTGGTTCGGCATTGAATTCTCAACATAAATAATATTTTTATCACATAGTTCATCACAGAAAATCAAATAGTTCAACAAAATAGTGCAACAACAAATAGTTCAATACAAATTATATAGTTCAACAAATAAAAACTCATATTTCATCACACGTCGAGCCCGGCGTCGCCCTTGATTCTCCATAGGTGCTTCACCAGATCCAGGTCTCGGATCCTCCATAGGCCGTTGATGATGCACCTGTGGGTCTCGGATCTCCTGACGCATAGTGAGGTAGGCAGTCCAGATTTCCGGTAGCTGGTGATCAACTTCGGCTAGAGGATCCTGCCTGTAGTATGGTTCAGTGTCAAGCATTGGCTCTTCCTGCTCGCTCTCGATGATCATGTTATGCAAGATGATACAACAAGTCATGATTTCCCACATTTGATCTTCCGACCAGGCCTGAGCAGGGTACCGGACAACAGCAAATTAAGATTGGAGCACACCAAACTACTCACACATCATCAGAGAGGCTATGGTGTTGATGTAGAAGCCCTCCGTGATTGAACCCCCCCCTCCGGCAGATCGTCGGAAAAGGCCCAGATGGGATCTCACGGGTACAGAAGGTTGCGGCGGTGGAAAACTGGTTTCATGGCTCCCCCTGATGTTTTTTGGGTATAAGAGTATATATAGGCGAAAGAAGTACGTCGGTGGATTCTGTGGGGCCCACGAGGGTGGGGGCACGCCTACCCCCTGGGCGCGTCCTCCTATCTCGTGGACGCCTCACGGAGTTCCGGACTTCCACTCCAAGTCTCCTGGTTTGCGTTTGTTCCAAGAAAGATCCTCGCGAAGGTTTCGTTCCGTTTGGATTCTGTTTGATATTCCTTGGAACAATCATATAAAAAAGCATATTAAAGCCCATTAAACATCCAAAACATATAATATAATAGCATGGAACAATCAAAAATTATAGATACGTTGGAGACGTATCAGTCGCCGCCGAAGATCACGTCGGGCGAAGCCTGTGCTATGGCCTATGACGGCGGCGGCGGGGCACTCTCCCTCGGGCGGCAGTAACACACATCACGACGGTGATCCGGCGGCAAGTAGCAGCAGGTTCCTGGCGGTGTGAGTAGCGGTAGCAATAGTGGTGGCCGGCCACCCCGTGTCAGAGGCGCTCTTGTGGTGGCGGCCTAGTTCACGGATCTCGCCCGACCCAAATGGGCTTGGCCGGCCGGCGGCTTGGTTCTGCAGCGACGGGCTAGCATGGTGGGCCTGACCATGGCGTCTGCTTAGGCACCATGGTGGTGCCGTGGCCGGTCAGGCGGTGGCGTATGGTCCCTTTTCGTCTAGTCCCCGTCAGATAAGGCGGCGATCCGTGCACAAGATGCTTGATGGAGGTTCTTCGAATAGATATGGGTGAAAACCTGCTCTTGGCTAGCTGCCAAGGCTGACGATGGCGGCACTCTTCAATGTCGTTTCCTTCTTGAAGACATCGCTATTGAGAAGTTCCAAACAACTGTCTGCTACCTCCGGGGAAACCCTAAATTAGTAGATCAGATGACGATGTCACTCTTGTGTCGTCTCCCCCTTAGGGGCATCATTCTTGGAGGTGTATAGGGACTTGAGGGGCCGGTGGACAACATCTTTGGTGGAGCAGTGCTTCATCCTACACACTGATGGCGGTGGATCTCGACGGCGACGCGCAGTGGAGACTCGGCGTCCGATGTGCGGCGATGGACTCGCGCAGGAGGACAACTTTGTCTGGCATTGATACGTCCATTTTGCATCATGCTTTTATATCGATATTTATCGCATTATGGACTGTTATTTCACTTTATGTCATAATACTTATGGCTATTCTCTCTTATTTTACAAGGTTTATATAAGGAAGGAGAATGCCGGCAGCTGGAATTCTGGTCTGGAAAAGGAGCAAATATTAGAGACCTATTCTGCGCAACTCCAAAAGTCCTGAAACTCCACGGAATGTCTTAAAAGAAATAAAGAGAAATCCACGCCGAAGATGAAGGCCAGGGGGAACACTTTCTTGAAATTATTATGAGGGATCATCTTATTTACTACCGTCGTTCTAAGTAAACAAGATGCAAAAACATGATAAACATCACATGCAATCAAATAATAATAGTGGCATGATATGGCCAATATCACATAGCTCCTTTGATCTCCATCTTGGGGCTCCATGATCATCTTGTCACCGGCATGACACCATGATCTCCATCATCGTGTCTCCATGAAGTTGCTCGCCAACTATTACTTCTACTACTATGGCTAACACGTTTATCAATAAAGTAAAGTAATTTACATGGCGTTTCTCAATGACACGCAGGTCATACAAAAAATAAAGACAACTCCTATGGCTCCTGCCGGTTGTCATACTCATCGACATGCAAGTCGTGATTCCTATTACAATAGCATGAACATCTCATACATCACATATATATCATTCATCATTCATCACAACTTTGGCCATATCACATCACAAAACACTTGCTGCAAAAACAAGTTAGACGTCCTCTAATTGTTGTTGCAAGTTTTACGTGGCTGCAATAGGGTTCTAGCAAGAACGTTTTCTTACCTACGTGAAAGCCACAACGTGATTTATCAACTTCTATTTACCCTTCATAAGGACCCTTTTCATCGAATTCGCTCCAACTAAAGTGGGAGAGACAGACACTCACTAGCCACCTTATGCAACTAGTGCATGTTAGTCGGTGGAACCGGTCTCACGTAAGCATACGTGTAAGGTTGGTCCGGGCCGCTTCATCCCACGATACTGCTGAAGCAAAATAAGACTAGTAGCGGCAAGAAAGTTGACAACATCTACGCCCACAACAAATTGTGTTCTACTCGTGCAAAGAGAACTACACATAGACCTAGCTCATGATGCCACTATTGGGGAACGTTGCAGAAAACAAAAATTTCCTACGGTTTCACCAAGATCCATCTATGAGTTCATCTAGCAACGAGTGATCGGATTGCATCTACATACCTTTGTAGATCACGCGCGGAAGCGTTCAAAGAACGGGGATGAGGAAGTCGTACTCGACGTGATCCAAATCACCGGAGATCCTAGCGCCGAACGGACGGCACCTCCGCGTTCAACACACGTACGGTCAGCGTGACATCTCCTCCTTCTTGATCCAGCAAGGGGAAGGAGAGGTTAATGAAGATCCAGCAGCACGACAGCGTGGTGGTGGATGCAGGGGTCACCGCAGCAGGGCTTCGCCGTTCTACTGCGAGAGGGAGAGGTGTAGCAGAGGAGAGGGAGGCGCCAAGACTCAAGGGATGCGGCTGCCCCTCCCTCCCCCCCCTATATATAGGCCCCTAGGGGGTGCGCCTGCCCTAGGAGATGGGATCTCATAGGGGGGCGGCGGCCAAGGGGTGGAGTGCCCCCCAAGCCAGGTGGGGCGCCCCCCACCCTAGGGTTCCCAACCCTAGGCGCATGGGGTGGGCCAAGGGGGGCGCACCAGCACACTATGGGCTGGTTCCCCTCCCCACTTAGCCCATGGGGCCCTCCGGGATGGGTGGCCCCACCCGGTGGACCCCCGGGACCCTTCCGGTGGTCCCGGTACAATACCGGTGACCCCCGAAACTCTCCCAATGGCCGAAACTGCACTTCCTATGTATAATTCTTCACCTCCGGACCATTCCGGAACTCCTCGTGACGTCCGGGATCTCATCTGGGACTCCGAACAACTTTTGGGTTACTGCATATTATATCTCTACAACCCTAGCGTCACCGAACCTTAAGTGTGTAGACCCTACGGGTTCGGGAGACATGTAGACATGACCGAGATGGCTCTCCGGTCAATAACCAACAACAGGATCTGGATACCCATGTTGGCTCCCACATGCTCCTCGATGATCTCATCGGATGAACCACGATGTCGAGGATTCAAGCAACCCCGTATATAATTCCCTTTGTCAATCGGTACGTTACTTGCCCGAGATTCGATCGTCGGTATCCCAATACCTCGTTCAATCTCGTTACCGGAAAGTCACTTTACTCGTACCGTAATGCATGATCCCGTGACCAGACACTTGGTCACTTTGAGCTCATTGTGATGATGCATTACCGAGTGGGCCCAGAGATACCTCTCCGTCATACGGAGTGACAAATCCCAGTCTTGATCCGTGTCAACCCAACAGACACTTTCGGAGATACCCGTAGTATACCTTTATAGTCACCCAGTTATGTTGTGACGTTTGGTACACCCAAAGCACTCCTACGGTATCCGGGAGTTACACGATCTCATGGTCTAAGGAAAAGATACTTGACATTGGAAAAACTCTAGCAAACAAACTATACGATCTTGTGCTATGTTTAGGATTGGGTCTTGTCCATCACATCATTCTCCTAATGATGTGATCTCGTTATCAATGACATCCAATGTCCATAGTCAGGAAAC